TCCTCATCAGAAGAATCCTTTGTTTCATCCTTCTCCTGGGTGGATGTGTCGTGGGATTCAATAGCCCTGATGTGATTGTTTGGGCATTGGCGGCTCTGATGCCTGGGTTTGTGGCATCTGAAGCATAACTTCTTATCCATGTGTTCCTTGTGATCCTTGTCCGACAGACGTCTGATCCGCTGATCTTTAGATGATCCATCTTTGGATAATCTTTCTCCAGTTTTGATTGCTCAGTTGCAATGTACAAATCTGCCACGGTTGCAACCAAAAGATCAATTAGTAGATGTCATGAATAGAGGTTTATCACCAAAGATGTCGATCATAGATTGACAGATGGATTGGACACTGTTCAGGTATCCTATTGCAGTGACAGGTAACGGGGGCTGGGCAGCAATCTGGAGAAGAAGAGCAGGAGGAATGAGTCATTGGAGTTCTCAAATTTTCCCTAACTCGTTTAATCCACTGGCTTGTAAAAGAGGTCGAAGGGTAGTAACAAATCGAAGACCATTTCCTCCACACTTGTCCCAGGTGCACTTGCTGATTTCATTTAAGGCTGCCTGAGTGTCGTCCTCGACTCCGAAAGTTTGAATAAAGGACTTTCTGAAGCTAGCCCAGCTAGGTAGTCCTTTAAGTGGCGCATTTTCGGTATCAGAGATGGGTTCTTGTGCATCATTGATGATCGTATGAACAAAGAATTGAGCAGGTCCTTTGATATATGAAAGGGCGCATTGAACCTTATCCTTATTGGTCTGAATCTTCTTGGGATTCCCTTCGAAGTATAGGTATAATTTGTCCAGGAATTCCTTGCTCTTTCCTTTGTCTCCTTCAAATTGGTTGGGCTTATTTACTGCTCCGCTGTTGTTGTCCGACATGTCTTCTTTGTCTTCTTGATTGCTAGGTTCTGGGTCTCCGTCTTCCGGGTTGTTTGGATGTCTGCCCGTAGATTCTTCTTCAGGAACAGGGTTGACTGGAGTTCCAGATGGGTCTGGTTTGGGTTCTGCTGTGACGGGTACTGGGTGTTGTTCCTCTGTTGGAACTGATGGGTTGACTGGTTCCGGTGAATCGAAGATTCCTGAGAAGAAACTAGCTCTGAGTGTGGGACTGGTGTTTGTTGACTCGCTAGGCAGGGGTTTGGTGGTTAACTGGAGTGGCGATGTATGTGGTGTAGGAGCTGCTGACACTCCTGCTGGATGATGCTGTAGTAGGGTAAGGTATGATGGTACTGGGGAGGGTTTCTCTGCTAGTGGGGGTACTACCGAGTGGCGATTTTCTCTACTGCCAATGTGTGCTAGAGACACTGTCAGAGAGGGGATAGTTTTATCTCTTTTCCTGTTTGGGCACACTGAATCAGTGCAATACTGCCAAGA